CTTATAAACGTAGCAGTGAGATCATCACTGTGCTGTACATAGCCTGTACAGAGAGCAGAGCTGTGGGAGGGATCCAAAAGGCTCCGCCCACTACAGGCCGCCTGCAGAAAACTGCGGGAGGGGCGGAGACAAGACCAGTCACCCTGCACTAAGAGAGAGAGCAACAGTAACTGGTCTTTATTATAGGCAAAGTTTCACACTGGATTACTGCACAGACTGGAACAATTACACAAAGCTCCCCAAGATTCCGGTAAGAACACACATGCCTCTTATATTTAGACAATATTTACTTATGCTGGAGTTCAGCTTTTCTTCCCCTAAACTGAGCCCTAAAACGCAACCACTAACATGATACCTTAAAGGGGATGTATAGCCTTTTCAATTACCAGAAAAAGCTTTCTGGTGCTGGCTTTAGCCTACCTTTCATGCCTCACTACTGACCCATAATTGTGATTGGCAGCCTCTACCCAATACTGGGCTGCAATATGTGGAGGGTGGCAGACCAGAACCAGCAATCAGACTGCAAAAGCAGAAGTAGCATAAACACATTAACCCCCCTATTACATCATAACGCTTGGGCGGCAGCATAGTAGGTGGGCAATAACACCCAACTGCTACATATATGCATTGCTGTGTTGTTTTGGGGGTGAACTCAGTCAGTGACCCCAGAATTGTGACTTGACCATGGTGAACTACCAATGATCAGGAGCCCGTAGCACAGGTTGCTGATTGTGTCATCAATGTGAAGCCAATCACAGTGAATGAATGAATGAATGGGGGCCCCTCCTAATGGACTTCAGCATCATGGAGCACTTAAGGGCCGGCTTCTGGGGTAAAATTGCATTATTAACATAACTAACATCCATTGACCATCAAAATTATGGTGAAGAAATTTTAAAATGTTGCCTGTAATGCCATCACGTAGACCACGGGTGGGAAACTCTGGCCCTCCAGCTGTTGTGGAACTACAAGTCCCCTCAGGCATTGCAAGATTGACAGTTACAGGCATGACTCCCAGAGGCAGAGGCACATTGGGATTTGTAGTTAAAGCACAGCTGGAGGTCTGGAGTTGCCCACCTCTGATGTAGACTTACACACTCAGGTATAAACTAAGGACATAGTGTATGTCTGATAATACATTAGATGGGACTGAACTGTTACTAGCACTTACATGACAACACCCAGCCATCAGTCTGTCCCACACATTTCCTCTGGGGTTGTGCCTTTTGGGATGCTTTGCATTGAAGGTGTCAAGAACAGCTGCTGTTGGGACTTTCTAATGTAGGTCCTAGGTTATAAATCAATATACTTGTATCTGGAGAGAGAGACATTTATCACCAGGGCCCGGAGAGGCATTACATTACAGGAAATGCAAGTCTTTTCATTTTCCCTTACCATAACACGTCATCTATGTGTATATCATCCTGTACTGTAGACTTTACATATAGAAACGAGGTATATAGAAAAGTCTTACACAAACTGTAAAATAAAGCAACGTGCCATACTCTGCCAGATAACAAGTATACAGGAATCTACAGTATATCAGCCTTTCTTAACCAGGGTGCTGTGGTACCCTGGTGTACCTTCTGGCTTTCTCAGGGCTGCCCCAACATTTTGTGGCAGTGAAGTCTGAGGTGAAGGGGGCTCCTGATGTAAAGTGGGGAACTATGATGTGAAAGGGGGGGCTAACGATGTAAAGTGGGAACTATGATGTGAAAGGGGGGCTAGTGATGTAAGGTGAGAACTATGATGTGAAAGGGGGGCTCCTGATGTAAAGTGGGAACTACGATGTGAAAGGGGGGCTCCTGATGTAAAGTGGGAACTACGATGTGAAAGGGGGGCTCCTGATGTAAAGTGGGAACTACGATGTGAAAGGGGGGCTCCTGATGTAAAGTGGGAACTACGATGTGAAAGGGGGGCTCCTGATGTAAAGTGGGAACTACGATGTGAAAGGGGGGCTCCTGATGTAAAGTGGGAACTACGATGTGAAAGGGGGGCTCCTGATGTAAAGTGGGAACTACGATGTGAAAGGGGGGCTCCTGATGTAAAGTGGGAACTACGATGTGAAAGGGGGGCTCCTGATGTAAAGTGGGAACTACGATGTGAAAGGGGGGCTCCTGATGTAAAGTGGGAACTACGATGTGAAAGGGGGGCTCCTGATGTAAAGTGGGAACTACGATGTGAAAGGGGGGCTCCTGATGTAAAGTGGGAACTATGATGTGAAAGGGGGGCTCCTGATGTAAAGGGTAACTGATGTGAAGGAGGGGAATCCTGATTTGATGGGGAACTTTGATTTGTATAGGGAATCCCACTTTTTTGTGCATTCCTGCATGGGGTCCCCCTTAAAATCTATTAGACTGGGGTGCCTCAAGATTTGGATTTTTTTTAAAGGTTGAGAAACCCTGATCTGTATAATAATATTAACATTATAAAACAGAACAAAATACATACATTGATTGTGTGTTGTTGGGTCATAATGTACTATATTACATACCTATAGGGCAGGGGTGGCCAACTCCAGTCCTCCAGCTGTGGTGGAACTACAAGTCCCATGAGGCATTGGAAGACTGATAGTTAGAGGCATGACTCCAATAGACAGAGGCATGATGGGAGTTGCAGTTAAAGTTATGCTAGAGGGCCGGAGTTGCCCACCCCTGCTATAGGGACTCATGCAGTTGTTGCACATTAAATAACCCAAAATGTGGGATTTTCTTTCATCTTCAGTGATAACAGTCCAATAGAGAGGGCCAATCTCCCTAATGTGAGGGCACACACATAGCAATAAAAACCTGATGGGGGTACTAATCCCTCTTTACTCTATACAAAACTTAACAAAAGTATTGGCTTCAGTTGAACTTTAAATCTGCAAACAATGTTTATTTACCTTTTTTCCAGCATAATAGATCGGAATGGATTAGAGAGCTCTAGCTCTGGGTCAGCAGGGAGTCTGTCGGACCTCTGCACAGAGACCCCTGTTTCCACATGGAGAGCTAAGATGCTTCTCTGCAGCACGCTGCCAAGGGTCCGGCTTTTCTACTCAGACTGTGGCTGCTTTCTAAAATAAAAGAAATGTAAGACTTTGCACATCTTATGTTTTGATACACTTGGAATATCATTTGCTGAATTGGACTTTATAGTACAACTATGGCCTTCCATTAAACATATGTGCTGCAGAATTTAATCGTAAGTGCATCTGCACTTACAGTCTTCTCCTAGTCCCCCCGCAAAGCTCCACAAGTACCTGTTGATCCTGGCACGTGATCACCTTCCTGTGATGGGGTGACAATGATACTGCACTGCTCCTGAAATCTGAGCACAGTTGTCGCCCTCGTGTAGGCTGTGTCTGCTTGCACTACAGTGGGATAAAAAAAAATGTTGCAGGGGCCGTGACTATCAACATTATCATTGCTGATTCACAAGGCTGTAGCCTGTCAATCAGCACCTGACCACACCTACTTAGTCCTGAACACTGCTTTCTGGATTGACAGCACTTCCTCTGTGCTGAGATACTCCCACTGTGAGCTGCAGTGTCTGAGAGGGGAGCATGTGAGATACATAAGTCACCCCAATGCACCTACATTGCAGCACGGCACAAAGCAATGTAACACACTACCATATCACGTAGTGTGCTGCATTGCACAAAGTAGTGTATGCGCCCTTTTTGTGGTGAGATAGGCAGGCAAATAAACGAGCTGCCACAACACATAATAACGCATGACATAACACAGCACAACAGTGTGAATGCGGCCTTAGCGTTTGCACACAGAGGGGCTGATTCATCAATCTTCCACCCACCCATATGGCAAATGCCAATCCCATGGCATTCTCGCCACTAGATGGAGCCAAGGAAATTCCTAAGCTCCTCGGCCCCATCTAGTGGCGGGAATGCCGTGCCAAAGGCATTTGCCCTGTGTAAGTCTGGGTGGAAGATTTATACTGTAATCAATGCACAGACTGTTACATACACATAGATAATAGTGAACCTGCCACCAAACTGGGTCACTCAAACTGAACAAATGCATTGAGGGTCATTACAGGCATGCTGCTGATCTTCCTATCTCACTGATAACATGAGTAAAACTAGGCTCTAATAATATGAAACACCCACAATGCACTTACGAGCCACATGTTTAGACATAGAAGTGTAATTATTCCCGGTTCATAACCGGTGGTATGTGACTTTAGACCACTTAGAGACCATTTATATCAAAAAAAGGGGGAAAGAGAAAGAAAGGGGCTTTGTGGTGACCACTGGAGAATAGCAGGGAATTGATCCAATAATAAAGTCAATTGATTCATATATATAATAAAATGCAAATAAGATATGAATACAATGAGGGCAATGACCAATATATGAATTTATAATCATGGTTTCTGTGTGGGTTCCAGGGAGGTTATTTATGGTGTATACATTTATGGTTTTTTATATGGATGAATTTTAGCATATTTATATGTATAGACATTATGAATTGAGTACATTAAAAATGGAATTTTATTATATACATGAATCAATTGACTTTATTATTGGATCAATTCCCTGCTATTCTCCAGTGGTCACCACAAAGCCCCTTTCTTTCTCTTTCCCCCTTTTTTTGATATATATTGCATATATAGGGGTGGTGTCCCAGTTTGTGTGAAGGTTCCTAATTTTTGTATTACACTTAGAGACCATTACTGGCTATCATCATTCATTCAGCTAAAGGAAACGCCTCTGACGTCACGCACAGCTGATCTCGCTTTTCTTCTGCTGGCTTTTTGCCTTCCAGGCCGCCGTAGCCCTGGTGACGTTGACCCGCGCTGTGCTGTGATTGGCTGATTTCAATAGTCGCGGGCTACTTGAACTGAGAAGCCTGTGTCCGCTGCAGCGCGCAAGAGTCGAATTGTCTGACAAAGTGAGAGCGTGGCGGGCGCAGGCGGCCGGAGGAAAAGCACAGAGCGGGCTGGTGGTCGGGTGAGAGCGGGCCTCCTGTAAGTCTTCTGTCTCCGGATCGTACAAGGAAAAGGAGGGTCGGGTATCAGCGCGCCCTCCCTCCCTTATCCCAGCTTCCATTGCAAGATGCCGCAGTTTGTGCTGCGGGATGAGAATCAGGAGAACGTCCACCCTAGGAAGCAGATGCTACAGCAAGCTGGAGGCCGCACCGTGCTCGGGGTCTTGCAGGAGAATCGGGGGCTACGTGGAGCTCATGGTAGAGGAAAGCAGCAGCAGCCACCGTCGGTATGTTCCCTCCTAGGAGAGGATCCCGTGCCGTCCGGTTTCCTTCCTAATCTGTGTAATGTGCTAACCTGAGCAGCGCGCTCCGAGCGGTAATAGATCATCGCCCGGTGTCCTGCTGCTGGCTCCATAACGGGTTTGTGGGGGTGGGATATGGCCCAGCATGGACAGGGTTAAATTCCTGGCTGCACCGTGCTAAGGGATGATCGGGGAGTGCAGAGACTATCGTCCAGGGAGTGCCGAGCCTATCGATTAGCTGGCCGACCCTTTCCCTCCAATACTGATCAATTAAACTTCCCTGTGTGCCATTCTTTCCCCCAGCTGTAATCGCACACTGCATTCAGTGCACTGGCCTAGTGCAGTGTTAGAGGCTGCCCCTTCTAGAAATGAAATTGCAGTTCATTGTGTAAGCGGTGACCTTTGTCAGTGTCTGTCTGCTGGGGGGAGGACATGTGCCTGGCTGATATCTCTTAATTGAACCACCTTGTGATGGAAGTCATCCAAATATTTCTCATGTGGGAGCTGATGCTGTATTGGGGTCACTGTACATGGGGCCAATCAACTTCACTTAAAAAAACTAACCTATCCAATCAGACAGGTCCTTGATCTACATGGTAGATCTAAAGATTGTACAATCCAACTTGTAATGTGTGGTGAGCTTTAGATGTCCATATAAGCTCAGGCTTTTCAAAGGTATGTTTTTAGAACATGGCCTCATGCACATGGGTACACTCTTGGAGGTAATTTTTTTTCTATAATACCTCTGAGCATGGCTCTAGTTTGGCCAATGTGTCTATGTGCCTTGTGGCATTCTGTATTTTTAAGCAACATTTCAGGGGCATTAACAAAGCCCATATTGTGTGTTCAGATGAGCTTCCTGGCATTATTATTATACAGGATCTATATAGCGCCAACAATTTGTGAAGCGCTTCACAATATAAGGATGATTTTACAATCAAAAGACAAGATGGTTAGGAGGGCCATGCCCGTGAGGGCTTACAATCTAAAAGAGAATTTATATACATATGCATGCCAATGTTTGTAAACTCATTCTAGTAGCTAATTGATATAGCAGCAGTTTGTACAGTGCTGTACAAAATGGAGACAGTACAGTTTCAATACAGGAGGGCCCTGCTGTTCAGAGCTTACAATATAAGGGGATATTCCCAACAATAGGGTTTGTGCACTTACACCTCTAAACACGCTACATGGATGAATATAATTATGTACTAAATTGTGTGTTTTTGTTTGTTTTTTTTTTCTGATGGAAAGATCAGTGTTAAAGGGAGTATTTTAATGTGTGCAAGAGCCCTATGTGGCATTTATGCTGCTAGATTAACTAGCCTCTCCATATCTCGTTTCAGCTTCTTGCTCCACGCAATCACTTGGGTGTTAACGATGAAAATCATGGCAAGGTACCAGCTGGAAAAGCTGCTGTCAAGCAAGCTACCTTTGCTATCCATGAAGATCAACCAGACTGTGCGAACTATCGGAAGCAGCCGGCCGCAAAAAAGCCTGCGCAAGATGAGCAGCTAAAACAGCTGAATAAAGTGGTCATTTCTCTCGGGCAAAGGAAACCTCTGGAACCCATAGAAATCCCCATAGTTCCTACTAGCTATGGTAAGGTAAAGCTGATCATGGTAGCTGCGGTGCTTGTAGATCTGGTCACAGATCCTGACATGGGCAGCTGCACTAATACACCTGCCATGTATTACAGACCAAATGGCCTTTACTTTTTTGCTATAATGCTTCTGGCTTTCACTCTAACAGCAGGTGCAATGTTTTGAAATCTCTAAAATAAACTCAAACATTATTCTATATTTTTTTTAATAATGAATCCAGATAAAACAAACTGGCAGTTTGCCTAGCACAATTCCATAAAATGTTTGTCCTAGCACATACAGCCATCACTCTTCCAAACAGCTAACTCCAACTCTCAGCTCAGTTTCCATGAACGTCCAGTAAACAGTCACAAGGAACGGTGTAGTCAAGCATCTGCCCATCTACATGTCTGGAAATATGTAGGTCGGGTGTTGCCTTGCTGTCTCTGGAAACGCATCTTGCTAGCACGCACATGGGTGGCTCTATGGGACCCTGCAAGGGAAAGTAGCCACCCTTAATCAGGATATCGGGACCAGTGCTCAGGGCACCTTTAAACAAGGAGCAGCATCCATTGTAAAATCAATTGGTATGCTTTCAGCACTGGATATGTATTGGATGTTAAGGTGCCCAGACAGACATGCAAGATCAGAGTCCATTTATTGTGATTACAGGATGGGACGTTCAGACTTTTCATTCCCAAAGCCTGTAAATGAATGACCCAGAGGCAGCACAGCCTTATGAAATTAAAATACAGAATTCTGCAGGGAGAAGAACCCTGCCTTTCATATAAGGGGAGGGCAGCTGGGGAATGTTCCCAAGCTTCATGTTTTTGTCCTAAATAAAGGTGCCCATACATTGTGCGATTGTCCTACGATAATCGCAAAGTGTATGGGAGGCGCGTGACCGGTTCTACTGTACCACATGTCTTTTGTCTAACGAGCATGTTTGAAAATCGTAGGATTTTTCGGCTGTTTTGTGGCATGCTCGGGAGACAAATGCCGAACGGTCCGGTTTGCTCACACTGCCCGTTCAGCATTGTGGTCATCGGAAGCCCGCACCTCCGCGGGGCAGGCTTGCGATGATCACAAGTATGATCCGCCTGTCCAAGATGGGCAGATCATACTTTTTTTTTTTTTAATTACTTTACAACCCTCAAGACAAGTCTTGCGAGGGTTGTAAAGTGTATGGCCACCGTTGGAGTGAAGGAAAACCTTATGAACCACATTTCACATTAAACCATAGCTCTGACAGTCTGTAAACTTAAGCATTGGTTGCTTTTGTTAAGCTCTGAAGATTTCATATTCAAATCTATTAACTTTAAGAAATGTTAAAGATAATTTGTGGGTTTGTTTTTCTGTATTTGCTGTATAAATTGCATTTTCTATTGCATGGCAAGAAGCCACAAGTGTTGCTTTCTGTGCTTATCTCGTCCCCTGATTTCTTAGACTCTCCAATGGATATGTCAATTGTGGATGAGGAAGAAAAGGTGGTCAGTAGCAGTGAAGTTCTAGATTATGCAGAGGAGATTCACACTTATCTCAGGGAAATGGAGGTAATTCAGTGTCCTGACTAATGAACAAACCTCTTTACAAAGATTTTTAAAGTGACTCCCAACAGGGGTATGTCGGTCTGCAAGCTTTCAGTGGTGTTCTGATCCAATGTCTTAAGTTGGCCTAAAGCCCAGCCCCCCCTTAGGAGAACTCGATACTTTAGGCTATAGAGGAGTATGTGCACGCTACTTTTTAATTGCAGAGGAGTATGTGCACGCTACTTTTTAATTGCAGAGGAGTATGTGCACGCTACTTTTTAATTGCAGGTGTTCATTTTAATGGTCCATTAAAGCAATGCAACTCTTGAATTAAAAAAACTCTTCCAAGATGCACGCTACTTTTTAATTGCAGAGGAGTATGTGCACGCTACTTTTTAATTGCAGGTGTTCATTTTAATGGTCCATTAAAGCAATGCAACTCTTGAATTAAAAAAACTCTTCCAAGTTTAAAAAAATGTGGTCACTAGAGGGAGATCTGTATCAATCTCTTAAATAAAAGCCTTGTGTTAAGCTCAAGATCTAATAAGGGCTTGACAAGCACATGTGACAGTGCTCTGTTCTGATGGCTTGTGCGAAGGAGTGAGGATGTTTCCTGCATACCCAGATATTCAGGGTTTTCTATAGGGCTACTGGAAGCTGGAGACCTGAGTTTGCTGTGTTTACAGTTGCTTATAGATTTGACATAAGATTGGCAGCACGGGAAAGTAGACTTCAGACTAATGTTATCGGGAGCAGTGAAGCAAATTTTCATAGTGCCACAGTCTATTTTTACTTGCCGCTTTAGTGCGGTGGTTCTGCCACTCCCCTAACCCGGTTTAGTAAAGCTACTTTTAAAAATCTAATTGCTATATACAGCTTATGAGTCCATTCATATCTGCCCTGTTCTCAGCTGCATATGTAAGTTAACTTATTGCCTTAAGATCTTGTTTCTTCCTACCTACAGATAAAGTGTAAACCCAAGTCTGGCTACATGCAGAAGCAGCCTGATATAACTAATAACATGCGCGCTATCCTTGTTGACTGGCTGGTTGAAGTTGGTGAAGAGTACAAGCTGCAGAATGAGACTCTTTATTTGGCTGTGAACTACATTGACAGATTCTTGTCATCAATGTCTGTACTACGAGGAAAGCTTCAATTGGTTGGCACTGCTGCTATGCTTTTGGCATCGTAAGTATTTTTAATCTATGTATTAAAAAAAAATACTTTTCCTAAACTTGAGTTCTAACAGACTTGTTTCTGCTAATGTAGGAAATTTGAAGAGATCTACCCTCCTGAAGTAGCAGAATTTGTTTACATAACTGATGACACTTACAACAAGAAACAGGTTCTTAAAATGGAACATTTGGTTCTTAAAGTTCTGTCTTTTGACCTTGCTGCTCCAACCATCCTACAATACCTCAATCAGTATTTTCGCCTCCATCCTGTGTCTTCTAAAATGGAAAGCTTGTGCATGGTAGGTGTTGGTGTACAGTCACATGATGGGTTATTTGTAAATGCACGTGTTCTAAAGTGGCACACCTAAAACCACTAAGGACTGGAATAAATGTGTTGAGGTAGCACCAGTATTAGTGTCTTATAAAGCTGAAGAAATCTTGATGGCATGAGATTAGAACACTGGTGAGAGGTTGCGCACTCGGTGTATATAAAAAGACGGAAGGCAAGGATTGATCCAGCCCTATATCTGATACACACAATTTTAGTTTGGCTGGACTAACACTCTAAAGGGATTCTAAAATTGCATTTTCATCTCTTTTCCTGTGGTGTCGAAGATTCACTTTTAGTTACGCGGGGAACAAGCTTGCAGGCTTTCCCTAAAGATTTGTGCAAAATCTGAATTTACATGTGCGTGCATCTTGGCTATATTATCTGTAACGGTGTTCAGTTGACATGTTAAGTGTAAAACAGTCACTGGATTTGATTTTAAATTCCTGTGTGCCTGCTTGCTGTGTAGAGCCTGGACATCTCACAATTGGCACTATGCTTTGCCAACTAGTGCCAGCTCCTAAATGGATCTGGCATTAGGTCTGCATGTCAGTTTGGGTATTTAGACAGATTCAAGCCTGATGTACAGCCTAGGACTTTTAACCACAGTCCTCACTAAGCATACACGTGTTAAGCTAAAAACCTATCTTTGCATTTTACTTGTCTTTACTCTTTAGAACTTGACCATTTAATCTAGGGAAAATCCTGTTGCAATTGCTGGTGGCAGTCATAGCCAAAGCAACTAACTAACCCTGCTAAACCCATGGAGATGGTGTTCCAGGATAGATCACAGCTATGCAGCATGCCCCAGTGACATAATTGCCATGGAGCTAGCACTGCTTGTGGGATAGAATGACTACAGTGTCTCGTATGTGGTCTTATGAGCTTCCTTGTAGATCTATAAATCTTTCAAAGCTTTGGCATAGTATAAGAGGATCATATGTTGATGTGTACAAATACTGCAATATAAGCTTGCTAAATATATCCCCTACAAATACTGCAAGTAACGCATGTCTTTCTATTTACAGTATCTGGGAGAGCTCAGCCTAATAGACTCAGACCCTTTCCTCCGATACTTGCCGTCGGTTATTGCTGCATCAGCTTTCGTCATTGCAAATTTCACACTAAACGAAGAAACATGGGTATGTACTTGGCAATCTAAAACGTCTTTAAAGTTTGGGTTTGGGAATACTGGGCAATTCAAACTGCAAATACACGGGAGGTTTTTAGGCTGCCCTCCCCTTTGGTAGTAATAAGGAAGAGGTCTAAGCTGTCTCTACAGAAAAGACTGAAACGTGTACGTTCTTCAGACCATTTTGACATAAGTTTCACTGAAGACCTGTTTAATTTGCCCACAATTCTGACATGTTAAACTTAAATGGGTCTATTATTATACAGGATTTGTATAGTGCCAGCAGTTTGCGCAGCGCTTTACAATATAAGTAAGACATTACAATCACATTACAATCACAACACAATTCAAGATGGTCTAAACATGGCTGGCAAATTTTTGATCTGGGGGAGTCTTTAAACTATTTAGATGAGTAATATTAGAAACTTCCCCAGTGTGCTTTGACATTTGTAAATTCTCAGGCAAGTATAGCTTGTAGTTTTGGATTATCTTTTGGTTGGATTATCTTTTGGGTCTGATTTGAAGACTAGCTTGGTTTGGTGGTTGGGTTTTTTAATATATAAAGGTGTTCCAAATGTTGTCATTAACTTAAAATTGGCTTGTTCTTCTCCATAGCCAGAATCTTTGGCCCAGTTCACAACGTACTCCTTAGAAAGTCTTAAACCTTGCATCCTGGATCTATATCGCACCTATCTTTCTGTATCCACTCACCAGCAACAAGCCGTGCGTGAGAAATACAAGAATGCAAAGTAAGTAAATCTACACATTTGCTGAACATGCACTTAAGGTCCCAGCATGGCTATTAATTGCCTTTAAGCCTGGGTTGTAAGACGGCTAGACAACTAGTTTTTGAAGAATTGTACTTGTCCAGTAACGAATTACATTTTCCTTAAGATTTTGCCACCAGTTTTTAGTAAAAAAAAAGTGTGGGAAAGGAGACACAATTTAGCAGCTAAAGGTGCCAAAAATTGGTTGTATTGCTTGCAGTGACCTTTCCATAAGCCTATTTTTTTTGACTTTCAATGTGCTTATGAGCTTGCTAGGGAACTGGCACTCTAGAAAGTCAGTTTCTTTCTTGCACATTGCCTTCAACTGGAGTATCTGATGGTCTGTGCTGGCACAGCTCCTCCCTTCACACTTCTGTTGTGTAGCACCCAAGGGAACAGTGAATGGGGATACATTAGTGATTCTTGAGTGACTGTTGGGGCTGCTGATTCCACATCAAAGATGTTAGTTGCAGTCTTGGGGCATTTTGAGGTCCACACAAGGGAGGGTTTTACAGGTACACTACATTTTGTATATGGGGAGAATTGTTGGCTGAACACATGATGCCAGGACCTCTTGCAGCCTTTCTATTCCTGTAGTTTCTTTCCAGTAGAACTATAGGTCCTTGTAAATCTAAAGGTGCTGTGAGATTCTATAAAAAAAAAAATTAACCCTACCTCAGACTGCGGGCCTGGGCTGGAAGCACTGAGGGGAGATTGGCAGGATGAATGCATGCTGCAGCGGATGTTCTCTAAGGCAGTAGGCCAGTGTATCTAACTGTTAGATGGTTAGTTTAAGGGGAGAACTATGAGGTGTGATTTGCACAAAGCCTCATAGTTGGTGCCGACATGCAACATTAAAACTGGCACATCAAGTCTACATGGGAAAGTGAGCAACCACATACCGTCGCTTACTTCCTGATCTCCCTGTGGGGCAGTGACATGGTCACCCCTCTCCGATCCACAAGCTCTCACTGGAGGAATAGACGGGGTGGGCACAGCTGGCTCTGCCTCTAGATGGGCAGAGCCTGTTGTCGGCCAGCTGGGTTGAGATCTAACAGTATTGTGGGGGATCCATCCTGACTGCAGCACTCAGTATATAGCAGGCAATATGTACTGAGCTTTGGGTCACAGGAGGATGTTGGTATATGTCCTTATGTGATCCTAGAGAACTTTGGGATAAAGATTACCCGATAGTTCTTTTAGTGCAGTTCCTCTACAAAGGGTGGGAAGAACTAACCTAGTGGTAGAATTGCTGGCAGTCTGTATTGGATATCTGCAGAGCTGGGGAATACAATAAAGGGCTTGTATCGGCCATGTACAGAAGCATTTTTGTGACTCAACCCATCCCAGGCAACTATTTTGCTGCATAGCTTGGCATCCAAAAAATGGAGGGAAGATGGTATATTAAAAGACAAACATTTGCTGATTAGAGATGGGAGGCTGCTAGACTTTGTAATGCAAATTTGGCTTTTTGAGTTGCAATAAATTTTAAAAAGAACAGTCCTTACATATGGTGGCTGCATTAGTTTACCTTTTCCAGGCTTTTCTGTTTTCACTTGCTGATCCTGCAAGTAATGCATTTGCTGTCCTAAAGTGACAACACTCGATGCACTGTGAGGGATCAGTTACCCTAGGCTTCTCTTTTATGACTACTACAAACCTATCTTAATTTCCGTTGCATAGGAGAAAAGGGTGTTGTAGATCACAAGATGGCTGGGAAAGCTGATGCATCTAAAATCTGTTAAATGCACAGGAAGTTGCAAGGGCACTGGATTTTGGACACTGGGATTTTGGCTAGATCAATTCATTTTGTACTTGGCTGTGGGGAAAACGGTCCACATCAAGCGATTTGGTAAGCTGTAATTGAGTTACTGATTCAGAAAGTATGTAGATTTGAACTACTTTTCTGAACCAGCAGCTTGCCAAAAGTGAAGATTTCCTTAGTATTTATGCCAGAGTGGCATAACAGCTGCACTGCTAGGGTCTCAGCATATTGGCAGTGACTGCCTCCATATTTCTCAAACGACTAAAGAGTTTGCTGATATCTCCATGCCACCCAAAAAAATGCCACGGTTAGGCTTTCATGCTGACTAATGGCGTAGTACCTTGAGTCATTGGTCCTGGCTTTATTCCCTACATATTTGCAATAGTTTCATGTGTAAAACATTTGTAGACTGCCAAGCAGCTAGCATTTTTAAGTGGTCAACAATGGCATCCTAACTTTTTTGTTTGTTAGCACAGCTCTCTAGTGCTGCAAATACAGAAGTCTGTGATCCCTAACTTTCTCATAACTTTCTGTTGGTTGACAACTCTTCCACTAATGTCATGGAATCCAAAGCGGTGTATTCAGCTCTGGTTAAGTTCTCAGCTAGTTCTGCACATTTCATGCTAATGTTCACGGTCTCCCTCCCCCATCAGATGCCATTATTTGCACGCAGTGTTGTCAACCCCTAAAGGAAGTTTTTGAGCTGACTGAATTTCTGGCAGGGTGATCAGATATCTTTCAGTATTTAATTTGTATTTCTTAGAAACCTGGTAAATATGCCTTTTTTAGCTTATGTCCATTTGTTACCTAAATATTATAGAACTTGACAGTATATGAACTAAGGCTTACTGTTTTTTCATTTACCCTTCAATAATTCTTGTTACTAATTTCCCTTTTCCCTTTGTTTCAGGTACCAAGGGGTATCAACAATTGAGCCTCCAGAGTCCCTTTCTATATTTTTATAATCTTAAAGGTTGGACTTTTCTAATGTATATGGACAAAAAGCACATGATGTACAGTTATTTTTCTATTATGGAAACTTTGTGTTTGTAACTCATTCAGGCATCGGGGATCTGAACAGAATTATGAGGCAAAGTTTTTTTAAGTTTGTTTTTATGGTTTTAAACTTTGTAAATTTTATGTATGTTTTAGATATTTGCTTAGCTATGCTCTTTTATAAAGCTGTTTGTGCAGATTGCACTTACCAAGCAGTTGTCATATTTGTTTATAAACTCTATAAATCACTGTTATTGACAATAAATGTTACGAAACAGCTAAACAAGTGTTAGTTTGAGCATTATGTAAAGTCCTAATGGGGTTCACGAGGGCTTTTATTGCTTCAGTTTAATGAAAATGGCAACTTGATTTGTTTTGACTGGGGCTTTCTGACGTGGCAGTTAATGGAGAAGCCCTACTTGCTGACCATGGCAGTTGAGGTCTTCACAAATTGGTGCAGTTTTCTATTTCAGTGTCCTCTGAATGTATAGGTCTTGGTAATCTACTTTTTATGCATTGGAGGCTGTGCCTTGCCATGAAAAATTTAGGTGTGGAAACACTCCAGTTGGTTCATGTTGCAATTACGCTTAAATGCTTAAAGTGGGGGTTACATTTGCGTAACTAGACTAATCTAATATCAGGATAATACCAGTGGTCTGACATGTAGGCAGCTTCTACAAGCTACCAAACCTATAGCCATGCATATCTAAAAGTCGGTCTACTTTAGTTCTGCTGTGCAGGGTTAAGTGGTTACCACTGCCACCCCAGACAAATGAAAGGTCCACTTTGAAATGTGCCTTTCTGCTGCCCCTATGACCTACTAAAACCATTGGCTACCTAGGTTGCCGGGTCTTTGGTGCCCTTGTACATGGTTAACATCTGTTTTGTATATAGTTCTCATGTTATGCCACTTCTCTGCCAGTATTCAAAGTATAGATAACCATGGTGAGCACAACCACTTCCTGTACTGTTGCCTTGCTTTCTGGTCATTGAGGGGTTAACAAGAATTCTCACCTATTTGAGGTTGGACAATGGTTTTCCTATGGTGGTGATGCTCTAAGTTCAAGAAACTCAGCCTTGCCTGGTGTCTTTAAATACTAGTCCCCGAGTAGCTCTTGGGCTGCACACAGTTCCCAGGTCATCACATTGGGCCTGCAACAGTTTGTTTGTTCAAAACAATCCAACATGGAGCAATAGTAAATAGTAGGACTTCCTGTGTCTCAGTAGGAGTAAGAATCTATTTTTATATATATTTTTAAAATATTTTTTCCCTAGTCTTTTGGGAACCATCGAGAAACTGGTCCCATCTGTTTATGATCATGCTGTTATGTACCAATTACTATCTGCAGCATGTTTGTGTTTATAGCAGTTACCTGGGTTAGCCTACATTTTGTTGCCAGTGTTCAAACCTCCCATTAGGCAGCAGTATAACTTGCTGTTCCTTAATGGAAATGTGCATAAATACTATTTTATATGGTGTACAGTCTTAAGAGTTTCCTATAGTGTAAATGGCAGGTATGCATTATGTATGTAAGGGAAATAACTGCAATATTCAGTCTGTTTCCATAAACGGCACCAAGGCCCATGGTAGGATAGTAGCATGTCCTTGTATGTGACCTGGTTTTGATGCCTCTAACTTTTTGACCTTAAAATTCTTCTGGGGGTTTTAATGATCTGTATTGTAAATGTCTAAGGCACATGTTAAATTGTGACTGTTGTAAAAAATGGATGGTCAAGCTTCTGGAATCAAGATCTTTTCAAATAAAATGGTACTGAAGCAGATTGTAAACGTTTCATATCTCAATGAGTTTTGCCATTTTAAGGCTTTCAGGCCATAGCTAAACTGATTTAGACCAACCAGAAAAGTATAATTTTATGTGCTGCTAAGGGTTTATGTAAAACTTCCTCTGGCACTACCTTTTGACATTACCTTTTGACATTAACATGGAGCACTACTGATTGAATAGCTATAAATCTTACAAATGGGGAACAGAAGTAGCCCCCCTCCAGAAGGAAGGATGATGTCAGTATGAAATCAGATGATTGGGACCTACAGCTGAGTGATGCATTTTTGTTAAAAATGCATTCAAGTAACATGACTTAACCCCTTAAGGAAAGACTCCTATATTTTTTTTTTTGCAGAAGTTATAATTCACATTGTAGGCCTGAAAATTACCAAAAACCCCCCCATGTATTTTCTGAAAGCCAAGACCCTATAGATTAAAATGGTGGCAGTTGCAAATGTTTATGGTGCACAACATTTAGTGTGACTCATTAACAAATGTATTAAAGTGTTAAATTTAGTTCCTCTAAAACATAGTCCCTCTAAGTTATAAGTAAATAGATGCCCAGGCTAAAAAAAAAAATTGTGTCCATGAAACCAACAGGACTTGGTACCACAAAGTCCATAGACAACACTTAAAAAAAAAAGCCCCTACAGGATCAGTTTAGAGATGTGTGTAACTATTGCTCGCTCTGGCATGTGCAGCAATACACAACATGTGTAGGGCAATTGTTTTCATAGGTGCCAGCTGATTATGCCAGAATGTTTCTACTGTAAGGCCTCATTCACACACAATGCAGGAGCAAAATTGTATATCGTGTATGTCCATGTATTTATATGCATGCACTATATGCAATCCCAGAATGCATCATTTGTAATGTGCTGTATGCATGTGTATGTCAATACGCTGCCCAGACACATCTCTAGTCCATTGTGTTTTGCGCATATATGCTACGCAAATATATGGCTCCATACGTGGCTGTGTATGGAGCCATTTATTTGTGCATATATGCTACGCAAATATATGGCTCCATATGTGGCTATGTGTATGGAGCCATTTATTTGCATGTGTTGCATATGGTACAGCAGTGTGAATGAGGCCTTAAGCTGACTGCTAGCACTACAAAACTGAAGACTTCTGGCAGCTAAAAGCCGGGAGTCTGGATGCAATCAGAAATCTAAAACATCACCAAATGAAGTGCCAGAGTGTACTGATCAACTGGAGGGTTAATGGTAGAGTTCTGCAGGTCGCTGCCCCACTCCAGCCAGGGAGACTGCAAGATCTAGAAAGAAAGCAAACTGGGCACATTTCCTAGTGCAGACAAATTTATTCAAGTTTAAAACAATTGATGATAAGAGTAATACAAGTGAATAGAAATGGAGCCTTATATTACAGAGCATGGCGCTCTAACATCAAACCAGGATAAAAGCAAATTACAGCTGCACCGATGTTCCTGGTGTTATGCACCTTCATCAGAATCTGACCTAGCCCCACTCAATGCATTAAATCAAAGCCATCAGCAGGGCCTCCATATTGTCAGCACATGATTCAGCAGCTTGGGAAGTGTCTAAAGGTGCCCATACACTGTGTGATTATCGCAAAGTGTATGGAAGGCGTGCAACCGTTTTTACTGTACAGTCGCATGTCTTTTTGACTTAGGAGCATGCTAGAAAACCAGCTGAGAATCGTACAATTTTTGGCTGGTTTATAGCATGATCGTAAGATCAACGCCACACACTGCCCATTCAGCATTGCGGTCATTGGAAGCCCGCCCCCCTGAGGATGATCGCAAGTACGATCTGCCTGGCCAAGATGGGCAGATCATACGGTTTTTAAATTACTTTACAACCATTGCCAGACTAAGGTCTGGCGATGGTTGTAAAGTGTATGGCCACCTTCTTAACAGGCTGCCCACAGCCTAACTAAGCAGCCTGCTTGGTAACCTGGCCAATCTCAAAATAGCCTCTGAAGCACACACCCAATATGACATACCGATTTACTCTGTCCAATCACTGGGATGGAAAACTGATCTCGTGTTGGTGTAGATTTTTGACAGCTGGAAGATGTGCTAAAAGGTGCCTATAGATAGACTAAAACAAATATTGTGCAGTGAGCAGAGCCCTTAACTGAACTACCCTATGACAACAGAAAAAAAAATGTAGTGACTTCCTAAGCTGTTGAATCATGTGCTGATGGCTTTGATTGAATGCATTGAGTGGGGGGGTGGTCAGATTCTGATGCATTTCTGGGGTCATGCCCCCTTCATCAGACACCCTTTCCTGGTTTGATAGTTCCATGCTCTGTCATATAAGGCTCTATTTCTATTCACTTTTGCGAGTATTACTCATCAATTGTTTTAAAATTTACTAAATTTGTCCACTAGGAAAGATGCCCCTTTTGTGTGTCCCACCTCTGCACATCAGGCCTGTTTTCTGACTGGTTACTGCACTTTGGTGTGTTTAGCTCATGAAATATAACACTTTGTCATGCCCAAGGAAGAGACCCTGATGCAATCAGACAAGAGTGGTGTGCATCAATCACTGCCTGAGGGCTTGTTCACACTATGTCCAGACCAGATCCATGCACCCAAAATATCCCTGTTTTATGGGCTACAGTTCTCACGAGCGCAATCCAGTCTGGAAATGCACCAACGTGTTAAATGCACTGCAGCTAACATTAGGGCTGCAACAACTAATCTGATTGAAAAAGTTGACAACTTTTTCAATCATCGATTATATCAGCTTCCGATTGGTTGGCCCTGTACACACGCTGCGCTCCAGATCTGCCCGCCCACATCCACGCTCTGCACCTCCTCCCTGCCTCACGCTCACCGCCTGCCCAAATCCATGAATTAAGGAGGAGCAGGTGTGGGGCTGATAGAAAAGCCCGATCTCAGAAAAAAGTTGCTGGAAGACTGCTCAGGTAAGCCTGCACTTCCCTCCCCCCCCCCCCATGGTGCTTTATAATGTATTGCTGTGATTTGTATTCCTCTATAGCTGATGGTATATTGTGCTGTATATTATACATAGGAATACAAATCCCAGCAATACATTGTACACTGTATGTATAATGTATTGCTGGGACTTGTACTCATATAGCTGGTGGTATTCTGCATTGCGCTGTATAGAGGACTACAAATTCAAGAATACATTATACAGCGCAATGCAGAATACCACCAGCTATAGAGGACTACAACACCCAGCAATAGTAGTACATTATACAGTGCAATGCAGAATACCACCAGCTATAATGTACTTTTGCTGGGATTTGTTGTATTCCTCTATAGCTGGTGGTATTCTAAATTGTGCTGTATAATGTACTGTAGCTGGGTTTGAGTCCTCTATAGCCGGTGCCATTCTGCATTCATTGCTGTATAATTTTACACTTTTCATTTCACTATATTCTACACCACACTTTTCTTTTTTTACTTCCACCGCTTCAAGCTTGCTCCTGTGATGGACTACAATCTCTACAAACTAGTAGTCCCATCACTGGAGCCATTCTTTAAA